CCCGCCCCCCCCCCCCAGGCAGTTTCACCTAGTTCCTCAGCTTTAAATTCCATCTAATTAGTTATCTCTCACATAGTAAATCTACATAACAAACCACCCAAAACATAGTGGCTTTATTGTTTAATTTATTTAAAAAAAATTTTTTTAAGTTTTTATTTATTTAAATTAAGTTGGTTAGTATATACTGTCATATTAGTTTCAGGGGAACTTAGTGATTCATCAATTACATACAGCACCCAGTGCTCATCACAAGTGCCGTCCTTAATATCCATCACCCATTTAACACATCCCCGTCCTCCCTCCATCTTCCCTTCAGCAACCCTGTTTGCTCTCTACAGTTAAGACTCTGTTTTATGGTTTTCCTTCTCTCTTTTTTTCCCCCATGTTCATCTGTTTTGTTTCTTAAATTCCACATATGAGTGAAAGCATATGAAGTCTTTACCCATTCATCAGTTGATGGACATTTGGGCTCTTTCCATAATTTGGCTATTGTTGATAATGCTCTACAGACATTAGAGTGCACGTGCCCTTGAATCAGTATTTTTGTATCTTTCGGGTAAATACCTAGTAGTGCAATTGCTGGATCGTAGGGTAGTTCTATTTTTAACTTTTTGAGGAAGCTCCATACTGTCTTCCACAGTGGCTACACCAGTCTGCATTCCTACCAACAGTATAAGAGGGCACCCCTACGCAGTGGCTTTAAGCAATCGACATTCACTGAGCTCATGACTCTGCAGGTTGGCCTGGTGGTCTTGCCATCTTTGATTGGACTTACACACCAATCTGGGTGTCAGCCGGCTACAGACTGACCTAGGATGGCCTCTGCTGGGATGACCCAGGCACCTTGTCTAATAGACATGTTTTTTATCTTTCAACTGGCTACTCCCGGCATGTTCCCATGATCATAAAAGAGGGTTAGAGCAAGCCAGGCCAATCACACAAGTGCCTTTAAAGCCTCTGCTTCCATCATGTTTGTTAACATCCCATTGGCCATTAATGAGAGCATGTGACAAAGGACACTGATACAGGGAGAGATGAAGAATTGCAGCCATTTCTGGAGTCCTCCACATATCTATACACAAAGCCTCCTCAACTTATTTATCTGGGTCCTGACCTCTTTTCTGAGCTCTAGACATGTATGTCAAATGGCCTAATGGACACGCACTTGGGTAACTCCAGGCATTTCAAACGGCATATTTAAAATTGAACTTTTGATCCTCTGTCAAAACCTGCTCCTCTTTCCACCATTCATTCTGCTTCTTAGTATATGATGTTGCCATCCACCCAGTGCTCAGTCCACACACCTTTTCTCCTTCACCTCAAATACAATCCATGAAATCCTATCATTTCTACTTCTAAAATACATCTAGTATCTGTCGTCTTCTCTCCTCCCTTGTCATCCCTTTAGTGCACGTTGTTTCCACCTCTTTCCTGAACATGTAAAAAGATCCCAATGAACTTTAAAATCTCAAAACTCCATCTGCTGCCCCATCCTGTAGCCACTCTGTCCTCACTAAGATCACTGGCTTTTATTCATTATCCAGACACAGTAAGCACTTTTTAACCTCAAGGCCTTAGCCATTTTATCATTTTCCCAGGACTGCCATAACAAAACACCACAAACTGTGTGGCTTGAAACAACTGAAATTTACTCATTCACAGTTCTCGAGGCAGAGGTCCAAAATCGAAGGAATGACACAGACATGCTCTCTCTGGAAGCTTTAGAGGAAGCTCCTTCCTCGCCTCTTCTAGCTTGTGGCAGTGCCAGGAATCCTCAGTGTTTCTGAGCTTATAAATGCATAGTCTAATGTGTGCCACTGTTAGGCAGGAAGGTAGGCATGAGTGACAAGAGGATGGACCTTACTCGTCCTGATGGAGATCCCAACCAACGACCGCCCAGGAACCACCCCTTTCCACCCATCCAGCAGCTAGTTTGTGATTACAGCATCCCAGCAGAAGAAGACTTAAGTCTGTTGTGCTTGTTACAGTTGTGCAGAAAGCAGTTAGTTTTCCTCACCTTCCCTATGCCTCTAGAATGGAAATAATGTTGCAGTTTCCTACCACCCAGGCAGGCATTTCCAAGGCATCATGGGAAAGGACGTGTGTAGTTGGCTAATTATTATATAATCCAGGCCTCTCACTCAAATGTTGTGACCCTAGGACCCACCGAAAATAAAAAAAATGGATATGAGACCACACGTCCTGGTTTCCCTCTGGGTTTCCCAGGCCATTGTCCCTTGACTGGCCAGCCAGCTCCTCCCTTGGAATGTACTTTAATAAAACTTTGCTCTGCTTTACTTTAGTTTTGCTGTCCTGGATGTAATTCTTTACTGTGACACCAAAAAGAACTGAGGCTTCTTTCTTTTTCCATTTAACTCTCAGTAACACTTCCATCTTCTCTCCTGTATCTCTTTCTCCTAAAAGGACACTAGTTATAGGATAGGGCCTACCCCCATCCAGAATGACCTCTTTTAAACTTGATTACATTTGCAAAGACCCTATTTCCAAGTAAGATCATATTCACAAGTACTGGGGGTTAGGACTTGACAATTTTTCTCGGAGGACACCATCCAATTCATAACTGCCATGCTGTTCCCAACAGAAATACTGAGTGATGAGAACATGGACTTTGGACTATGGACTGCTTCAATTTAAAAAAAATTTTTTTTAATTTTATTTATTTATTTGGAGAGAGACTGAGAGTGTGTGTGTTCACACATGCACATGAGTAGCGGAGGGGCAGAGAGAGAGCAAAAGAGAGATAATCCCAAGCAGGCTCCACACTCTCAGTGCAGAACCCGATGCGGGGCTCAAACCCACACACTGTGAGATCATGACCTGAGCCTAAGTCAAGAGTCAGACACTTAACCGATCAAGCCACCCAGGTGTCTCAAGGACTGCTTCAATTTGAACACCAATTCTGTTCTTATTAGCTGTGTGATCCTAGGCAAGCTACATAAACCCTCTGAGCTTCAGTTTTCATACCTGTAAAGTGAGGATGGTTGTATAGCATCTACATCACTGAGATAATCTGAGAATTTAATGAGTTAATGAGTACAGTGCCCAGAATATAGTAAGCACTACATGTGTGTTTATTAGATAAAATAAATTCTTTACTGTGCATACTCAGATCTTAGCTGAGATGTACTTTCTCAGACAGGCATTTCCTAATTTCCCCTCACTTCATACATAAGCCACACTTTTTTATTCGCAGGTGTGGGATTTTTGTTGCTGTTTGATGTCTGCTTTTTCCAATTGAACTCTAAGTTCCATGAGAGCAGGTTGTGTCTATTTTGTTCACCACTCTATTCCTAGCATGAACAGAATGTTTTGCATATGATGAATATTAGATAAATATTTACGAATGAGTAATTATGAAGGGTTAGAGATGGCAATTTCATTATCATGAGTTTGCAGGTGCTTTATTCTCTATCTCTTCCCCTCTCCCCTTCTCTAGGAATCTTGTAAGAATAAGTTTTAAATTCATAACATCCAGATTATGTTTGGACTCTTTCTTTCTGCAGCTTCACAGAAGAATGGAGATGTCTTACCCAATTGTTTTCTATGAAAATCTACGCCTCAAAAGAGAGAAAACCAAGAAGAGCAACATGGACCCAGGTGGCAGGAGGGCAAAGGGACAGCGCAGCAGTTACAATTACAGTGTATGGGGTCACTAGGTGGCAATTCAATTCAAAAACAGATACCTGAACCACGTATGAATTCATACGCATTAGTAGGAACTTGTTGTTTATAACAGCCATGGGAAAGGGGAGTTTGGGGGGAGGGACACAAGCATAGCTTGTGCCAAAGAAGCTGCTGGCTCTTCTTACTTCATTGTGTAAGTAGAAGTCTGGCTCTGCCAACAGGTAGGTAGATGAAACCCAGCTTATGCCATTTCTATCTACAGAAGAACAAAAACAACCTTCATACCTTATCCTCCCAGTAACAAAAGGAATCTGAAAACTCACCCAGACCTCATTACTCGGTCTCCAAATTGGGGTGCTCCCTTTGCAACCTGGATCCTAATGCACCTTTAAACATACGTGTTGCCAATACAAATCAAAAGACTAGCATTTTTGATGTTATGTGATAGGTATTTTAGACATATTAACTCATTTAATCTCCCTACAACCCTATTATGTGGGTAGCATTATCCAAGCGGACAGGAAATAGGTGAAAGAACCAGGGTATAATTATTCTAAGGTTCATAGTCATTTCACCAGAAGGGCATGACTTGCAGTCTGACACCTTTGAAGTCATTAGTAAAACCTAGTCCAGCAGTTTCTTAAAGCGAAGTCCGCTGGCCCCTCCGTCAGAATCATTGGTGGTCTTTGTTGAAAATTCAGATTCCCTGGCTCTGCCCAACACTGAAGGAATCAAGTAGAGGGTTGTCCGGAAACTGAACTTTTAAAAAGCACCTCCAAGTGGCTCCGCTGGAGGGCACTATGGACGCAGATGATTCTTATGCATTAGGACCACACGCACAGACTTCGGGCATTATCGAAAGATGGCAACATACCGCCCTGGGTGACTTCAGCCCGGCTCAGCATCCTCTAACCAAATCCGGTCCCTGAACCGCCTCAGGATGCAGCCGCACAACGAAACTAAGCACGCGCAGTACTTACTTCCCAAGGAGGGCGGGGCTCGCTAAGACCCCGCCCCCTCGGTACCGGCCGGAATCAGGGGCCGGACTCTCCCTAAGTAACCTAATTCCGGCTTCTCCCCGCAGCGGCCCAGAGTTCCGCCCCCGGCTCTTCGACCAATCATATGGCAGGTTGCTGAAGCTCCGGGCCAATGCACAGGGCCGTCCTTTATTCTTCTGTGCAGTTTGAAACTGTCAGGCTGCTGCCAAGGTAGCGGCGGTACCACTGTTATTTTAGCGGCGACGCGGCGAGGAGACGCGGAGGGAGGCGTCCGGGTTTGTGAAGAGTCGCAACGGTGAGTAGCGGCGCCCCGGCGAGTTCCGCGCCCCGGGCGGAGGCAGTGGAGTGGGGTTTAAAGTGTCTTAGCTCGAGTTTCCGCCCCGGGGGCTCCTATACCACGCCCCGAGGCGTGGGCTGTGTGCTGTTCTGCGGGGCAACGAGGTACTGAAGTTTTCCTTCCAAGGCGTCCGGGAAGAGAGGGCAGGAGTGGGGGGTACTTGAAGTATAACGATTACTGTCGCCGTGGGTTCTGATCATTTAAAACGAGAAAGTAACCATGTCTAACGTGTTTTTCTTTTGCTGTTGTTTGTTTTTAAGAGTTCGATTCAAACAAGGGTGGGTAAGAAGGTGAATGAAGAGAACCTCTACCCTTTGCTTACTCACAACTGCTGTCCCCCTAGGCTGCTAGTCCCTTAAGAGGGGAGGAGCTGGCGCGCCCCTTCTCCTTTCCTGCAGCTAAGATGTGCTGCCAGCTCGCACATTAATTCCCTCTTCCTCTGTCTCTTGGGGTTGCATTTGAATTCCTGGACCCCTTTTTCCTTATCAGCCAGGTATTTACCAAGAGGTAATTTGATTTCTTTGGCTGTCAAGAAGCACCCAGAACTTTTCTCTTGGTTTCTGGTATCTTGGGTTAGAGAGTACTGGTAATTTAGTGAACTGATTCACATCCGCCACCCATTAAAGCAAGCTTCATTTTTCTTCTTTGTTTCTGAACCTAGAAACAGTAAGAAAATGCTAGTGTGGTAGGGTTTCAAAGAAATTGTCCTACCTTGCTGGCCTCATAGCAGCGCTGATGGCAGATTTATAGCATATTTTCCAAAAATACAGTAGTTGCTTTATGGCTGCAGTATCTCTATTCAGAAACTCTTTTTGAAGTCTCACCTTACTTTCCAGCTTACTTGTTTTTTGAATAGTCAGCACCAGCCCACCTCCACTCCTATTATCTACGCAGTATGCAAATACAGCCTAAAAGAAGTAAATGAAAACAGAAATGAACCAGGTTACCACAGTGGTGGATTTGAAGTCCATGAAGCAGTCCTTCCTTGCTGGGAATGTGTGTGCTTATTTTATCCTCCCTAATTGGCTTAACTAAAGACAGTCATGCTGAGATTTAGTTTACTTATGTGTATAGCCAGTAATACTCATCCAGTAAAGCTAAGTTTCCATCAACAAGTCCCAACCTATGTTTCCATTCTAATAATGTACTTTTCTCTGTGTCGGCCCTGTCTACTTCAGTTTCCTTATTTCTCACTTATTTTTCAGGCCAGTGTGACTGAGACCTGTTGCACCTTCCACTGAAATTGTTTAGGTAAATGTCAGCAACTTCCTTACTGCCATGTTCAAGAGACCCCAACTTTCATCTTTCTTTGGCATCTGACTCTACACTCTGTTCCTCAAGTTTTTATGATGCTTTTTTCCCTGATAGTTCTCCCATTCTGACTTTCCTGTTTTTGCTCGCTCTTCTCTTCCCCTTTAAACGTTAGTGTTTCTACTTTTAACCCTCTTCTCACTACAGTAGCAGGCCTTTAACTTTATTAGAGGTATAGTCCCCTCTGAACACCTATTAGAAGCTAGGGATCCTCTTACTAGAAAAATACATGTGTATTTACACTAAAAATATTGCATATAATTTGGGTGTATGGACCTCAGAATAAGAACTCTTTCTAACACTCGTTTTCATAGGTCATCTTACCCTCTTCCTTTTTCAGCATTTCCCATTATGCTGATGATTCCTCAAACTGTCTCTAGCCTGTACCTCCAGTGCTCATTGCTTAACTCCAGGAAGCACCATTTTCATTGTAGCCATTGTGAACGGCAATCCTTGGTGTGCAGTATAATGGATGTGGCCATATCCTGCATACATGCAGCTTCACTACAGTGCCTCATAGGTACCTCACACCCGACTCGTCTGATATTGAACCCACTCTCCTTCTTCCCGACCTGCTTACCTTCCTACATTTCTTGTCTTGGTTAGTGGCACTATATTATCCATCTAATTACCCAAGTCAGAAATTGGAAAGCCATCAACATTCCAAGACCAGCTTGATCGTGTTATCACTTGTTTAAATATTATAATAATATATCTAGAATAAAGACTACATTTTTTTTGACATAACGTAATCACGATCTTCCATGTTCTGGCTGCTTCCTACCTTGCCTGATCCATCCTTAGCCAAGCCTTGCTTTGCACCCTTTGCTTCAGTGTTACGAACTACTTACATTCCTGGCATACATGCCCATGCCTCTGTGTCTTTGCTTCTGCTCTAATGCCTAGCATAGCCTTACATCTTTTATCTGCCTTTGTCTTTCACGTCTCAATACCAGTTTATCTTCTCAATTAACACGTACTCTGGCTCCGTTCCCGCTTTGTCACTCTCATGATCCCACCCCATGAAAAATAGCTACTCCTGGCCTCCCTGCTTTGTACCTCTTTTGTTTTAGGGCCTACTAGCATATATACATCTGGCTGTCTCTACAGATTGTAAAGTCCATAAGGACCAGGACTTCGTCATCTTACGTTCCTCACCACTGTTTTCCATGCAACTGGTGTTCAGATACTTTGAATAGTCCCTACTTGTCCTTTAAATAACTTATTTAGGGGCGCCTGGGTGGCGCAGTCGGTTAAGCGTCCGACTTCAGCCAGGTCACGATCTCGCGGTCCGTGAGTTCGAGCCCTGCGTCGGGCTCTGGGCTGATGGCTCAGAGCCTGGAGCCTGTTTCCGATTCTGTGTCTCCCTCTCTCTCTGCCCCTCCCCCGTTCATGCTCTGTCTCTCTCTGTCGCAAAAATAAATAAACGTTGAAAAAAAAAAATATTTACTTGTTACTAAAAATACTTTTATTTTTTGGGACAAGACTTTTGACAGGTTTTCTATGGTATATAAGAATCTCTTGTTCTGTATAGGCTTGCTTTCCTAAAATAATATTCCCAAAACGTATGTTTCTTAGGCAAAGAATGTGCACAAATTGTTTATTCTCTCTTGGCTCAGTAAAATGCACAGCACGCAGGTTGCCACCCATTGTTGAAGAACAGTCATCACACTCTATTAATCTCAACAGGTCCATTGTGGATTTGTCCAAGGAGCTTCCATTTCTCTTTAACCTTTCATACATTTGTGTCATCTCCTTGACTACATGAAAAACTCACTAATGTTGGGAACTGAGCCTCCTGCTATTCTTTTCTTGCCTGGTTATTTTATCTGTGGGTGCTCATTGTGTTGAATATTTAAACATACCACATGATTATTGTTTACAGGTTAGGATGTATATACATAGAAAACATGTTATGTTAGTTTAAATATCACCGGAAGAAAACTAAAGTTAGTTTCCATTGTTTGTAGTATTTGTACAGAATGTCATCAGATGAGGAGAAATGCTCACTGCCAGTTATGAAGAATGACTCTGACCGAGGCAGTTCTGTCTCTTCAGATCTTCAGGTAGGAAGACATGTCTAAATTTGTTGTGACTTTTATGAGGTGACAATATGTGACAAGTGACAATATGAGTGAAACAAGTGACAATATGAGGGAAAACTAGGAATACATTTTTCATGTATTCATGCCATTTACATTTATAATTATGTATATGGTGTATGATGTATATATATACTGTATATATTTATGTATATTAATGTATATATATTTATGTATATATGTGTATGGTGTATAATGTATATCAAATCATAATAATATGATTGAGCATTGAGAATTATTTCACAGACTTTGGGACATACCTTACATTGTTTGAACCTTTCAGAAAATAATCCTGAACTCTTCAAACCCTCTGTGCAAAGGCTTCAAACAGCACAATGAGAGAAGCTGGAAATCTCAAGAAACATTTTTTTCTTGAGATTTTCTCAACTATCTCTTCTGAATGCTGCTTTCACTTTAATGCAAATTAATACACTATCAAACCATCCACAGTTCTGGGACCTTAGATGCCCTGGTGTTCTACTCCAGGTTCTAGTCCCTGTTGCTACAACGTTCAACACATTCTGCTGCCCAGGACCTGGACAGTGACAGATAAATTAACTACAGAAGGTGTGGTTTTTACATGAACTGTTTTAAATTTCTTTTATTTGTAAAAAAATTTTTTTCATGTTTATTTATTTTTGAGTGACACATAGACAGAGCACGAGCAGGGGAAGGGCAGAGAGAGAGGGAAACACAGAATCCGAACCAGGCTCCTGGCTCTGAGCCATCTGCACAGAGCCCGACGTGGGGCTCAAACTCACAGACTGTGAAATCATGACCTGAGCTGAAGTTGGACACTTAACCAACTGAGCCACCCAGGCACCCCTGTTTTATTTCTAAATGTTTTATTATCAGAAATATGGACTCTGACTTCTAGAGTAGATTTTATTTTTTATTTTTTTATTTTTTTTAATGTTTATTTCTGAGACAGAGCATGAGCGGGGGAGGGCAGAGAGAGAGGGAGACACAGAATCCGAAGCAGGCTCCAGGCTCTGAGCTGTCAGCACAGAGCCCGACCCAGGGTTCGAACTCACAAACTGTGAGATCATGACCTGAGTGAAAGTCAGTCGCTCAACCGACTGAGCCACCCAGGCACCCCAAGAGTAGATTTTAAATGAGAGATCACTGATACGGTACATCTTGAGTCTTATAGTCCTCTTAAGTATCACTTAAGAGAGGGAAAAGCTGGACATTATGTTTATGCCTAAATAGAGTTAAGTTGTTACTGACACTGTGTAATAGGAGAAAAGTTTTAGGAAGATATTTTATGAAACATATATGATTCTTAATTGAAATTACTGATTTAGAAGTTGGAAAGCTATTGGAAAAATATCTGTGAATATTTACTAAGATAAAAGTAGTCTGGAGTTGTGACATTGATATTTCATCCTTGTCTTCCCTTTGGATGTACTTTTACCTAGCGCTGTCTTTTAAGGTGACAGTGCTTTCCTGCACTCTTTATCCCTGCCTTTTTCAGACTTCCTTCAGGAGAGTACTGATTAACTCATTTATACTTGTGATATTGTGATTTATAATAAGAAATATATTTTGGTCTTTTTCCCGTGTTTTGCACATTTTCAGAAAACTTTGAAATTTCCTAAATGATAGTGATAAATGTGTTTGTTATGCTAATGAGGTGACTTTTGGACCCCGCTTAAGGATTGGGGCTGGTTGCTGGGAGCGGACCACATGCTTACAGATTTGGAACTTTTAGTAGTGCCACCCACCGTGAACTCCAGGAAGCGGGGAGAGGCTGCAGGTTGAGTTCGGTCACCAGTGGCCAATGATTTCATCAATCATACCTGTGTGATGAATCCTCCATAAAAACCCAATGGGAGAGGGTTCAGAGAACTTCCAGCTCGGTGAATGTGTGGAGGCTCTGGATGACTGCCATTCTAGGAAGGTGCGGAAGCTTTGCCCCCCTTCCCCATACCTTGTGCTTTGTCTCTTCCATCTGGCTGTTTCTGAGTTCTGTCCTTCTATAATAAACTGATAATCTAATGAGTAAAATGTTTCTCTGAGTTCAGGAAATGTAAGTTTAAATCTCAGACATGTGTTGTTGTTTTGTTTTTGTTTTTAATGTTTATTATTTACTTTTTGAGAGAGAGAGAGAGAGAGAGACAGAGCATAAGTGGGGGAGGGGCAGGGAGACAGGGAGACACAGAATCCAAAGCAGGCTCCAGGCTCTGAGCTGTCAGCACAGAGCCTGATTCAGTTCTCAAATTTCACGAACCGCAGGATCATGACTTGAGCTGAAGTCGGATGCTGAACTGACTGAGCCACCCAGGCACCCCCAAAACTAGACGTGTTTATTGTCATGAAGGGGACATCTCCAACAAAGGAGTTGACTATAGCAACATGAAGATCATTCTGATGATTGAGATTTCTTTCCATGATTCTCTCTTTGGAGTGTCTCTGTTTCTCTTCTGCCATTAGCCTTAACATGTTAAAATCTGTATTTGCTATAACTTTTACTGCATATAGGTAATCCATGTTAACTATGCAAAACAAGGCTGAAACTGACACCAACTCACTTCTTTACATTTAATTACCCTAAAGACTTGTAATTTTCAAACATCTACCAGCATAAACCCTTTTTTTCAAACAATTTTACTTCAAATTCCAATATAAAAAGGTTAAAGTAGAAGTGTAATTGCATAGATTTATATTATAAATTCAAATCTGTGACATTTCCATCTCACAAAGTCAGCAAAAACAATGAAGCTGCCTTAAATGTACATTTGACATTGGTGGATAATAGGAGACCTAGCATAGTTTGATAAGCCTAAGTGACCATTTTGCTTCTGTATTTTATTTGGGCTATAAAATATCAAGAAAATTCTGATTCTTAACATAAGTAGTTGAGAATGATGGCTTGTTTGTTTGTTTTAATATAGTTGACACACTGTTACATTAGTTTCACGTGTACAGCATAGTGATTCGACTTCTCTATGCATTATGAAAAAATGGTAGCTGTTTAAAAACCTATCTCATCTGCAAGTAAACTGATCCAAAACATAAAAAAAGGATTGATAGAAAAGTTTTGATTCATTGTTGAATCACCAACAAAGTCTGTCACTTCTTCAAACTTTTTATAATCTACAAATCACCCAAGAAGCACCCAGAAGACTCAAATTTGGAATACGTGCTAAAACCCTTTGTATTATGATAAGCATGTAACAAAGGAATGAAGTCATTTGCTACCCTGCACAGCTCATCACTCTCCTGAGGAGGGACTGGCGCCAGCAGATGTGCTTGAGTTTGAGTTTGTAATTGATGGGCCCACATGTGTTAGAGTTGTGTGTTCACCTGCACAGGTGTGATTCCTAAAACAAAAATCAAACCTGTGCAGAGCCACAACCTGACATGTTTACAGCAGCTTGACATGTACATCGATGGCAGGAACAGCTTTATTCCAACCAACAACAACAAAAAAAAAAATTGAGAATTTATAGTTTGGGGCCAGTTAAAATTTAGCACATGTGGTATATGTGATAGTGCTTGCTCCTTTTACTACTGTTTGTAAAAGAGTTAAATAGCTTAAAAAATGAAATTTGAATAAAACAGCGTGGATCCCCTGAAACACCTTCTTGGAAACTAGCTAGAAATGCAGTGATATTGACTACCGACTCAGGATACAAGGTAGTTCTGACTACAAAAGTCTGAGGGTAATTACGTCTGTTCCCTTGGAAAGCACCAAGATACTTATTTCGGTCATCTGTGATGTAACGATGGCTGGAAACTTGGGTGTGGTGGTCAGTTAAATATTCTTACTCAAAGAAAACCATAGGGAAAGAGTAAGGATTGCTGATTTTCACATACCTACTGAAGATCGTTCTTTGATTTAGACAGAATTTTTCTGAATTCACTTGAGCACATACTGTGCCACTTCACAGAGGCAGTTTCAAGCATCAGTTATCTTCATACTGAAGATGAATCCAAATAACAAGACAGTTATGACTAATGAAATGATGACAGTTCTATATTGGAACTAAACTACTTATGGGGAAAAATTAACACAAAAGAATCCTTTAGAATAATAACATTTAATGTTCTTGAAAACCTTCCCCCCAGTTTTTTTTAATGCAAAGACATTCTCTGGGTCCGTGAATACGACTCTAAGAAATTACTCTTTTTTTTTTTTTTAATGTTTTTATTTATTTTTGAGAGACAGCAGGGGAGGGGCAAAGAGAGAGGGAAACAGTAGATCCACAGCAGGCTCTGTGCTGACAGCAGAGAGCCCAAGGTGGGACACAAACTCACAAACCATGAGATCATAGACTGAGCTGAAGTCGGATGGTTAACTGAGGCATCAGGTGTCCCATGAAATGACTTCTTGTAGGACTATTTGGTACATGATGACCAATCGCTTGTGAATGTCAACTAAATTCCAGTATATTTTTTTACTTCGCAGATACCATTTTTTGATATGGCTAAAGAAATAACTGTCTATGTGAGGAAATTCCAATTTTGTTTTAAACTTGAGGAATATTACTGTAAGGTCTACACTTTGTGACCTGTATTTTTTATCGCTTCTCAGGTGCCTTGCAGTTGCCACTAGGTAGAATAGAACAAACAGGCTACATTTGTGTTCTCTTTTTATCGTCAGTATTTCTTTTTCTCTTCCAATATTTCCCTTACGCTCTTTCCATGCTATGAAAAGACCCTCCAGGTTGTTGCTGCGTTGGATGGTAGCTGTCAGTAAAAAGAGCCAAAACCACTTTTCATCTCTAGACCACGCTATTGTGGAGTCTTTGGAAGCAACACCTTCAAACTAAATTTCAGAAAAGCAGAGAAATGTCTATGTCTCTGCCCACCTGCAGGGTGGGCGTTTCTGCTTTGTAGATGTTAACTGGTCTCAGGCAACGACACTAGGTAATCTTTGTGTCACGATTGCTAAATTGGCGTCTGAAGGAATCTATCTGGCTAGAAGAAATTTGGGTAGGTCTCTTTGTTGGGTTTCTGTTTTTAAGAAAGTACACCTTCCTTACTACATCGAAGTACTGTTTTGAGAACTGAAGTAAAGAGTAGCTTCGACTATGCCTTTATCGTTCTTTGCCTGAATGTCCATTGTGACCGTTTATGATACATTATTTGTTTTTGGCTTCTCATAGGAAGAGTATGAAGAACTGCTTCGTTATGCTATTGTGACTCCAAACATTGAGTCGAGAGCTTCACAGCCTTGTCATTCTAAAGGAGAAGTGGTGCCAGATGTTAGGATTCCTACTGTAGTAGATGATATTCTTCATAATCAAGGTTATGTATATTTTGAAAGATATTTCTTAATTTGTTATTGAGCTTATTAATGCCATTGACTTAGAGTTCCAGAAATGCTTCTCCAGTGATTCTTCTTAATCACTCATGTGTATCACTATCATCTGGGAAGTGTTTTCCATTTTAATATGTTACTCTTGGCTCTTGCGCGACAGCTGGATATTTATATGAACTTTGTTTAAACTATTACATGAAAAATAAAATAAAAGCAGGGGCGCCTGGGTGGCGCAGTTGGTTAAGCGTCCGACTTCAGCCAGGTCACGATCTCGCGCTCCGTGAGTTCGAGCCCCGCGTCGGGCTCTGGGCTGATGGCTCAGAGCCTGGAGCCTGTTTCCGATTCTGTGTCTCCCTCTCTCTCTGCCCCTCCCCCGTTCATGCTCTGTCTCTCTCTGTCCCAAAAATAAATAAATGTTGAAAAAAAAAAATTTATAAGAAAAATAAAATAAAAGCAAAAAAAATAAATAAAATAAAATGAAAGCAACACTATAGCCATAGCATGCCTGTCAGTGGAGTAAATTGCATCTAATTGTTCTAGTAATTATATACCAGGATTATCTTGGAAACTAAATGCCCAAGGCCCCAAATTAAAGATGCTCCATAGGTAGCCCTCAGAACCACTTAAGTTTGTGAACCATGTCCTAGGACTTTGTCGGCAGCATTTCTGTTAACGTGGAAGACTGTTTAAATTATCACCACAAGGGTGAACCCATTTTGGACTACGTCATTGACAGAATTGAGAGTTAATACAAGCCAGGATGTATGTAGATAGGTGAATGAAAGGTGGAGAAAGGAAGATAAAGCTCCTTTCACCTATCCATTCTTTATTTGGTAAAGTACAGGATCCCAAACAACTCGCTGTAAAAAAGTATTCCTTCAAAGGGCACAGAAAACCCTCCAAAGATAGGCCTGGTGATGGGTAGTTATCAACAGTAGGCGTAACTCCAGGGATGTCTCCTTGAAGGCACATGAAACAGCCTACTCAGAATCAACAGGCTCCTGGGGTTCCGATAAGTTACAGCCCTAGTATTTTGTTCCTCTCTCTTGGTAGACATGGACTATCCATTGCTAGACTTCAGCATACTGCACTCGATCATCAAATAGGGCCAGAACCATAAAATGCATATATTTACTTTACCACCACAATATTTTACCCCGAAACATTTTCTGCCCGAATTTTAATTGATATTCAAGAGGCAGGGCCCCGGGGTTCATTCATTGTATATCAGTGATCTTGACCATGTCTTGATTAACCTGGGTACCTGAGCCTGTAGTTCCTGTTGAACACACCCAAAGGGCTGCATACTCTCTTACAAAATATGTAACTAGTCAATCCGTGTGTTCACCCTGTATGTCCCTCCCTTAAGGGGGTCACCAGACACTTGCTTCCTTGCTGTACTGTTGTTCCCAGTGACACAACATTGGAGTCCTCTCCTTGCCGTGGCTCTCCAACCTTTCAAGGTCATCACTTGGGATTTAAGACCCCTGTTCTTCTCTAGCATGGAAGATAGTATTTATTTGTTTATACTCTGCCTTTTCGAAAAAGGATTTGAGATCTAAGTATACAACATGCAGTGAATTTAGATATCTTGATTCACACGAAGATTGATAAGAATATGTAAGTTCATCATCCCATTCTTTCCTCTTGGTATTGCTGTTGCTTGATGTAAGTGAGGTATGTTGAAGTTGCCAAAGTATATATAAGCCTTCCACACAGCCATTCTTGTGAGGTTTTCCCCCATTTTATTTCCACCGTGTATTGACCAGTGGTTCCTGAGCTGCAAGTGAGGGAACCAGTGTCACTTTAGCTTGACGGCAGTAGGCCCCTGGAAATATCCAGTGTAAGATTGCATAGCTTCTAAGTTCTAATGTCATTCATCCACTCAGTCTCTTAGTGTGAACTGAATGCTACAGTAGGCTGAATTCTCTTCCATCTATATTTGGTGGGTAAAATTGAGCTTATTAATGATATAGTTAAGACTTTGTTCTCTCAGTTTTGTCCTTCTCTTTGTTCTTTGGCTTAGTGTTCCTCTATCCCCGGCATGTTGTATTTTGCTGTTCTAAAATCCTATGTACTGCTACCCTCTTAAATTAAGTATGTGTGATTAGGCATTTGATATAAGAGTGGTTTGGTTTAATAGAAAAATTATTTTATTTTATTTTCAGCAGGAAATAGCCCTGTAGTAAAAGAAACAAGGATGGAAGTTGGAAAAGGATGTGATTTGAATATTTCAAGTCATTCAAAGACAGATGGTATGACTTTTCCTCAGTTTGTTTTTATTAACATACAACATTTTGTGGTTTGATGAATTTTATTTGTGTAGTAAGAGGAATCATTTCAGCATATTACTCATTGGCATGATTTTAAAATGCTGCTGTTGCTGATTTATTAACTAATACTATTTAAAATAATTTCTCAAAATTCTAAAATAGTACAATTAAGACAGGTTAACGTATTACAGTGTGTGGCATCCTTTCTTAAAACTGCTAGATTAGAGGGCAGTACTTTAAAAGATTTCATGGGAGTCAGCTAATTTGGCCAATTTCAATGTTTTCATGAACCAGTGCATTCTTTCCCAACATTCAGGCATTTATGTACCAACTTAGTGATTTTTGTCCTATCTCTATACCCCTTGTTCTGTCATTTTTTCTTTAGATATATTCATTTTTAGCTTAAATTCATTAGAAGAAAAATTTGTGTCATTACTGATTATAGAATAAAACTAATATACCCTTTATAAATAGAAAGCAATGGTAAAAATAAATGCAACTAACAATTAGTAAGTTTTGATTGAATACTGCTGGTGATGTGTTCAGCCTGAAATCTGCTTTTCCTTGGTTGAAAGGAGAGATGAGCAAATGTTACAGAGGTTATAAAAGCACACTAGCACCAGATTGAAGTGATTAAATAATTAAAATAGAACAGTCTTCCTGCTCTGTGATATAATGTTATTTAATGTACGGGCCATGTAAGCCACCCTACAAGAAATGCCTCTAACCTTTGGTTTGCTCACTTGTACATAAAAGGCTTGGGCGGTATAACACTTGGGGACCTTTCAAGTTCTTCAGTGATGTGATTCTCTTTTTCAAAAGGTGGATATATGTTTAAAAATTAAAAATCAGAGGAGTGCCTGGGTGGCTTAGTCGGTTAAGCGTCCAACTTTGGCTCAGGTCATGATCTCACGGTTCATGAGTTCGAGCCCCATGTCGGGCTCTGTGCTGACAGCTCAGAGCCTTGAGCCTGCTTTGGATTCTATGTCTCCCTCTCTCTCTCTGCCCCTCCCCTGTTCACATTCTGTCTGTCTCAAAAATAAATAAACATTAAAACAATTTTTTTTAAATAAGTAAAAATAAAAAATCAGAGCCTATTGCTTTTCCCATGGGTGCAGATATTGTTGGTGAAATCTAGTGAAAGAGAACATTCATGTACTTTGTCACTCTGCTTTATTCTCTGGGTTTATTCTTCAGAGTATGGAGGTGGTGTTTCATAGTTGACTAGCCTGAACCATTTACTGAATAAATTTTTTATGTAAAACATATATATTAGAGCGTGATTTTCCCTTTTGCAAAGAGTTCTTGATTTACTTTCAAGTAACAAGTTCTACAGTAGATTTATCTGTTTGACTCATCTCATTGACCAAGGAAAAGAAGAAGGCCTTTCAGTCTTGGTTATTAGGACCCTTGTAACAAAAGTGAGATAGGTGAGAAATGATAAACCGTCTCTAATTCCAGCATACATGTGTGATAAAATAGTAATCTTTTCTGTTTTGTGCTTTTGAAAGGTAGATGCCTGTTCTGGCACTGGCTTTCACCCCTACATCTATCCTCCACCCCAGCCCACTACCCTCTACCATGTATATGGGCAGAGGATGGAAATTATATACATATATGTGTATACATATATAGACGTGTATATTTTCACCTGTATGTTGAAGGCTAACAGTGTGCCTTACAACTGAGTATCTGTTAAAACTAAACTACTCTTTGTACTTAGAGTGTTGAATTTTACTGGTGTTAAAACCGTCACCAGTGTGTTACATAAAGTAATAATGACCTATAGACAACCTATAGACCTATAGACAACCACTGGGACCTTGGTCCATTACTTAACCCTTTCTCTCTCTCTCTCTCTCTCTCTCTCT